CTCTGAATTTGCCTCATGGAACATTATGGATGTGTTTTCAGTAACCTATAAAGGCAAAATTTCAAGAATTGCCTTAGATTTTCATTTGTGTTTCACACTCCAGAAAATTCAGCATGTATTATTCCTCCCAAAGGCAGCACTTTACATTTCCAAATGCTCTCAACCTGCAGGTTTACAGATGAACTGCCTTTTAGCAGTGCTGTATTTCATGATATAGTTAATGTTCCACTTCAGAGCTTGTACAAAGCCTAAAAGTGAATGCAAACTAATTAAGAAAAATTGCTTTAGATATATGTTTTCTGTGTTACCACAGGCTATAAAATGTCTGTCAGTTGTAGAAGCCTGACAGCATGCTAGAAGTGGCATGTAATTGGGTTAAGTAGAGCGAGCAATTTCATCTGTAAAGTGCCAAAATACTTGCCGATACTGTCCTCTATTATCCTATTCCTACCCGTATGGTGCTGTAATGTGTGAGTGTAGCCTTTATGCTCCATTGATCACTGCAGATATCTAGATTCCCGTGTACCCCAAGTACACAAGTAAAATAAGCAAAAATGTTATTTGTATGGGCTGAAGTTATCCATAATAGGATATGAAGTTAAATCCATCCTATCTACTGTAGGACTTGTGTTTGTCAACCTCTACTGAAACCCTACAAGGCACAAAGCCCCAGTGCAGAAGGGATCGGTGTACCAACACTAGTTGCAGTACTAGAGCAAGAAGTCTTGATGGAAATCAAAACTTGGGGCAATTCTAATACCTGTAAATGATAATTAAAAAGAATCTTTAGAATGAAAAATCTAAATCTCAGATTGGTTCCATAATGTGGCTCACACTGCTTACATGTTGGACCTAATCCTTCTGGCAGGAATATCTGAGTTACCATGCGTGTGTTAACTTGCTAAGAAAGAGAAACAATTTTTGAAAATTTCAAGACTGAAGTTCTGACTTAGGGTGCCAGTAAATACTTGAAAATAAACAAACAAAAATTGAATGCTGTTGAAGCAAATGTTGGCTAAAAGAAATTTCAAGAAGCTCTAGTATCTCCTGATGCTGTTGCTACACAACAACAAAAATATAAGAATATTCAGCAATAAAATAAAAAATCAGAACTCTTGCCATATTAATGCTGTAACTGTTTTGCTTTCTTTTCAGTACAGGACACACGGTTCCATAAGGTTAAGTCACGATATATATCCAGCTCATTTGCAGCATAACTTGCAAGCTGCTGTTTTACTTAATGTTGTTTTCTGTAGAAAAAAAATAAATGTTAGTAATACAAAGTTAAACATATAATTTTTAAGTAAGTCCCATTTTCTGGGTATTCTCCCCTATGTGCCCAGGTACTAGGCTTTTCTGATGGTAGATACCACATAAACTACTAGACAACTAAGGCTGTGCCATAACTCATATGACAGTCCATAACACATATGAATGTCTTTAATATGAAGGGATGCTGTGTTTGTACCTTGCAACATATCTAGCCCTGTTTAATTCGCTGTGGAAAATACTGTGTAAGATTTCTAAATGAAAGTCCATGAATGTTTGAGTTTATTTAGAAATGGAGTCATTCTCCTGCAAAAAGCCAGTGTGCCTTGTGCTGAGGACCTTAGGTAATGCATAGATTGTTCTCAGCATAAATGCAGGACTTTTGTTTGTTTGAAAATAAAACGATCACTGCTTTTGTGTAAGAGTGGTGGGTGTAATATATTTTTTAAGTCTATGACCAAAATGCAGTACCATAGTCTCAATTTCTCTATGTAGCCTTTGTAGACTACTATATGTAGACTTTGTAGACTACTAACAGGGAAACTACTATACATAACACATTAGTTATTAGAGTTCTGTTGCAAATGAATGTTTCCATTAACAAATTTACAAGTTACTAGTCCTTATCCTGTCATGTCTATTCAGAAGGAGTTTGTTTTGCTAAGAATTATAATGTTGGGATGGTACCTAGTGTTCATGAAAAAATTTAGAATGGCTAATGTTATGAACAGGCATTTTTCTGAAATTTTGCTTTTCATACACGAATTACTCTTTTTCTGGCTTCAGTAAGCAGGTTTTATAGAAAACATGTGCTTGTCTTACCTTCAGTAATTTTATTGACCATTTTTCAGAGATCTACAGTAGGAAGAACAGGAAAAAACTTAATCCAACCTTAAATTTTTCAGTGGTAATTTTTGAGCACAGAGAGTGGGAATACATTATAAAGCAGAAATGCAGATGGTGTTCTGACTATGTTACTGGTTTCAAGTTATTCAAAAGGAGGTGATCCTGCCCCTCTACTCTGCTCTTGTGAGACCTCGCTTTGAGTATTGTGCACAGTTCTGATGTCCTCAACATAAAAAGGACATGGAGCTGTTGGAACAAGTCCAGAGAAGGGCGACGAGGATGATCAGGGAACTGGAGCACCTCCCGTATGAAGACAGGCTGAAAAAGTTGGGGCTGTTCAGCCTGAAGAAGAGAAGGCTGCGTGGAGACCTCGTAGCAGCCTTCCAGTATCTGAAGGGGGCTTACAAGGATGCTGGAGAGGAACTCTTTACTAGGGATTGTAGTGATAGGACAAGGGGTAACGGGTTAAAACTTTAACAGGGGATGTTTAGATTCTTCTTTCCTGTTAGGGTGGTGAGGCACTGGAATGGGTTGCCCAGGGAAGTTGTGAATACTCCATCCCTGGCGGTGTTCAAGGCCAGGTTGGACAGAGCCTTGGGTGCCACTGTTTAGTGTGAGGTGTCCCTGCCCATGGCAGGGTGGTTGGAACTTGATGATCTTAAGGTCCTTTCCAACCCTAACTATTCTATGATTCTATGATTATATAAAACAGTTCTGAAAACTTCATGAAGGAGAAATCAGGATATTTTAATGACAGCAACCTCTGCCACACAGGATAAGTAACTATTTTTCATGAAAACATTAAAAACTACAATCTTTTTATGACTATAGTTTTCATAGCTGGATCTCTTCTTTCTCTCAAAGATAATTTTATACATCTAGAAATGTAATTTGAAGCCTCTTTTATTTTAAAATTATTTGGGTTTTCCATTAGGCAGATGCTGGTTCCTCCACCCCTACTCTCTCTCCCTCCACCAGCTTCATTCAGTTTCCTGTATTACTAAAGGAGGTGTTAAAATTCTCCATTATAGTTCTCCATTATAAGCAGCTTTTTGTCTGGTTTGTTATTCAGGAAAGTTTCTTTGTTACGTTTGTATTCCATAGTGACACAGAGCTGTAGGAATTAGGCCTATTCTACATGGGTGAATGTGTAGAGGTATCAGCAATATACCCAGAATTGTTTTGTGGGGTGTATATTATGGTGTATTATGGGAATATACCAAAACCTTTAGATGAAGAAATGGGTTCATTAAAAACTGAAAGCGAAAACTGGGGTAAACAAGGAATTACGTTGTGAATGAGGCAGTTACTGTGTTTGATTGCAAATGAGCATCACAAACATTGTCAAGATATGTGCATGGGTGTTGCAGGCAGAGGGTGCCTTCTCCCTATAGAGCTGGCAGCCAGCTGCCTTTCATACCAACAGCAATGCCGTGGCAAGCTCCCAGAGTAGCTATAAACAGCATGTCACAGAAGTTTAGAGCAAGGGGGAGAGAGGAAGGAAATACTTCTATGAGCCTGTGTTAAAACAAAAGTCATAAGACGTTTTTGACTATAAAATGATGGAAAATAGCATAATGAGAAAATGGGAAAAATAGGGAGGAATAATATAGAAAAAAATGTGTTAATGACCTTAATGGAGACCATGTAACTGTTTCCTTCCATATGCACATCAGATGCCGCTGCCTTCTCTTCTATGTGTTTTTGTCTGCCAACATGAATCTCTTTTGCCTTATCCAGAATGGCATTCACTTTGTTTTTGTGCAGACCCCTATTTCTTTTGGAAACTCAGAAATTGCAAAGAGTGCAGATTATTCCTTTGTGGAAAAGGTTAAGAATGGTTTAATTCAGAGAATATATCTTGATCTCCCAGTGTTTTTACAGGCGTTAATTCCAGTTTAACCCAAACAAACCAAGGACTGCTGGTTAAGCTACCAAGTCTTAAATACATGATTGAGTAGATATTCAGAGGCAATATAACTGTGACTGATTACAGAGTGATATATATTTTGGTTAAACTGTATTAAGAAGTCTATTTTAAGACATCATGAGGTGGAGAATTCATTAATTACCTTGATAGTTTGTGAAGTAATTAATCACCCACAATATTAAAATGCCCACTATTTTTTAATTTGAACGCATCTAGTTTTGATTTCCTATTCTTTTCCCAGACAACATCAGATTAAGCACACCTCTGGTAGTAGTATCAGGATATTTCGGAGAGACAATGATCTAGACACTTCTTGATATTCTTTGGGATAATGCAAGCAATTAATTTTTATAGCTCCTTTTTGCACCTTCTCTACATGATTACAACCATTTTGAAATCTGTTCCTAGCACTACAATATAAATCATATCAATGCCATATATAAAGGTAAACATCATCTTTTGGTTCTTTCCCATTTACTCATCCAAATATGGGTTTGTCCTTTTTATCACTGCCCTGAAGGTTCAGTTCTTGGCCAAATTAGATCCTGAAATTCATTTAAAAGCTGTTTATTTTCAGATTTCACTCCCCATCCTTACATGGATTGCCAGTGTTCTGTGTTTCAGGACAATATATTTTCTTTAAATATACAAATGCTTTTAATATGAACAAGAATATACTTACATGTAATTATTAATATACATATTTTTTCACATTTAAAGGTCGCATGTGACAAATGTCTGACAAACGATGTCACACAGTGTACAATGTCTGTATTTTAATACACTAAATCTGAAAAAAACTAAACTATAAAGGTATATTCACCAATTTTGTTCTTAAACATAAGAAAAAGAATTATGTGAGGTTTTTTTAAAATCAAAATAGCAGAATTTGAGGGTCAGTAAGTGTCCACAAAGATCTCCATCAGCAAGAATTAATGGAAGTGCTACAAGGCAAATGCAGCTGTTGGTGGTACTTCATTGTCATGTTCTGTTTCATTCATGCCTGTTATTTGGTTATATATTTTGTTGCTGGTTACAGAACACATCTGAAAGGGACAATGATGAAGTTGATGGCAACAATATATGTGGTTTCAGAAAGAAAAAGGGAGTCAAAGGTCCTACAAAGTACATTCCTCCTCTACAAAATGCGAAGATGGAGCTGTCCTGCACTTCAGAGAACCCAGATTCCTGTCCTCAACAAGGAACTACTGGTTGCTCAGGACCACCATCAGACCCATCTCTTCAAAACCTAACTAGCTTTTCTTTAGTAGAGAAGGACACAGGGGGCAGTGACAGTTCTCATACTGACAGCAGTGTGAAAGAAAACATGTCTGGAGAAACACGAGAAAAACAGGAGAATGATGGCCCTGGGAAAAGAATATTAGGTCAAATAGATGAGGAAATAGATGAAACAGCTAAAACAGAGAAGTACATAGGTGTGCAACCTGCAAGCAGTGCAGGGAAAACTGTGTGCGCAGAGTCAGCTTGCAGGGGAGAGTGCGATGAGAAGGCAAAGAGCAAGCAAGAAGAACAGGGTGGGGTGGAAGAAAGAGATGTCAAGTTTCACATGACAAAGACGGGCTCCCTGGGCGGTACTGTACCCACACAAGGATGCGGTACTGCAATCACACAAGGACACGGTGCTGCAAAGTCCTTCCAAAGGGCACCTGGCCTTTCTAAACAAAGCCTGCAAGAGCTGAAAAACCTGCTGAGTGAAGGTTCTCTGCCTGCTCCTAGGCTCAATTACAGTGGCAAGGCAGGTGGCACTTTCCCCCAGAAAAACATCATAAAACCCCATGACAGGACAGCTGACAAGCAGAGCCAACTCTTTGAGACTTTTAGCCCTCATTTTGGAGAGGAGAACAGAAAGTACCACAGCTTCCACAAGGAGGGAGTGGGGCAACAGAGCAAACCTCTGCTGGTCCTCAGCTCTGCTGGGTCTGATCAGCAGCAATCAGTGGGAAGCAATGTGGATCAACTCATTCTGGGACTACCTGCAGCTTCTCCACATGCAGAAAGCAATGCTCCTGAGATTTCCTTTGACTCCTCTGCAGACCATGCTGGTAAGGATATTTAAGCATCACCTGCTGTTCTGTTAAAGAAAATGCTCCTATTGTTGTTTTGTGCAGTTTTGTTAAGCAGTAAACTTTAGTCAGAGCTAGTGCATGAGAGAATTGTCACCTGTGGTTTCTGTGTGATTGGGGTGGATCAGAAGTTGTGCTCTATGTCTGTGCTTTTTTTTTTTTTTTTTAAGTAAAACCATTTATGAAGCTCAGCTGCCTGCCAAAACCTGCCACACACAAGTGGTCTTGTCTTTTTCACTACAACTGAAATATTTCCTCATTTGAACTGAGCACAGGAAACATTTCCCAAAATTCTGCTGGACACTGCAAAGCCCTGATGGTGTCTGGGTTTCTTAAAGTGTCCTTTTTGTTAACCTTTCCAGCAGCAGAAATTGCTGTTTTCAATATGATGATGTTTTCAATATCTGTCCTGTGGGAGGACTGGAATGCAAAAACATCTCATACAAACTATAGGGGAAGAAAAGCAAATGAAGCAGAGAACTTCCACTAATCTTCATGCTGTTCAATAAGTCCATTTTGGAAGTGTTTATAGAGTCAATTAATTGCTACTAATATGCTGTGATTTCTTAGAAACTGTAAAAAAAGACAGGGCTAGCTGGATGAGCAAACTGAAAGCTACCATTAGCTATGATAATGTAATGGGCTTAGAGCAGTCCCTTGTTTTGTGTCTATTCCAGGAAGCACACGAAAAACAATTTGCCAGTTGAATAGGTATCAGATTAATAAGTTTCCAGTAAGAAGCATCAGGCTTGGATCATATTATCAGCTCTTCAGGATAGGCATTTTACCCTCTGACTTATCTCACTGATACAAGAAGTATGAATCTTCATTGATAAAATACTTTGTCCATCATTAACTATTCAATAAAATATAATAGTAACAACTAATTTTTACAACAATATTAAGTTATCAAGTTATCCTGCTTTTTTTTTTTTTTTTGCTTTTTAAGTCTCCTTTCAGAAGTGTAGACATACTGCTATACATACTCTGAAAACAGAAAATCTGAATATATAAATGTTATTGGCTAGAGTAGGATTTCTCAGTAGACATATTGTGTAACCCAGTTTGAACAGGCCTGAACAAGATATTGATGAACATTATCAGTCCTAACTCAGAGCACTGCATGAAAAATATAAAGCTTTGAAAAGGTTTTGTGCTTAAATCACTCTCTATTCACGTCTATAAGAATAAAGAGATTAGAGAATTATTTCTCAGACTACACTTGATGCTTTTGATTCCAAAAGTTTTGGAATCTCATGAGGTTTGGATTCCATTTGGCTTTGACTAAACAAATTGTAGGGCTCAGTGTGTGTTTTCACTAGTAAATGGAATGCAGAGAAATAGTTTCTACTTAATTTGACATGTAGGTGTTTGAAATTTAATTTTCATTGAATACATTCAGTAACTTCAAAGAAGACATTTTTAGATAAAATTCTGCACTCTTTAATGAGCCTTTGCATAAAGACTATTTAATTACTGCCAGTGATAAATTATTAAAAATGATAAGACAAAATTATAAATATTTCATTTTTATGACTAAAATATTACCTTAAATATTTTCGTTACTGAAGCGCCTGAAGTCTTGTATCTAAACATATCTCAACACTGAGTATATATGAAAGACTTCAAATCCTTTTGTATCTCTTTGTCTGTAGCTGGGATAAAATGTTTGTTAAAATCTGCTTGAGTGCAGACTGCAGAGCTGGGACCTAGAAACCTGAACACCTCCAGGAGCAGGTCCTCTCAAAAGGGCTCATCTTCTGGAGCACATACCAAGTGAGCCCATGTAAATATGACCAGCACAGAATCAGGAACTGTTGGAAGGAGAACGAAATTTCTGAAGAAAGAAAATAAGTCTACGCTGTAGCTGCAGGCATCGGTCGTTACCTAGTGACTGTTGAAATTTCAAGTGCACAGGTAGAAAAGGTTTGAACACTTCAAGAATCACATGAAATGTTATGCAAGCACTGACCCCAAACACAAGGTTCCTTTGCTAAACTGTGATTTTAGAGAAAGCATATCAAGTAGATGCTAACAGACTAGATTTCATACTTAAGAGTGGATGTCATCAGTCCTAAAATCAATTCCCTTTTTTTTACAAGGAATAACCTCATCTTGTCATTTTAAACTTGTTTAAAGCTCTTATTTTTAGTAATAGGGCAGTCACAAATAATAATACCTAGTATTTAGGGGTAGAATTATGAAAAGAAGACTTCAGAGAAACAAATATCTCAGGCCTTTTGCTCCATTGAAATTAAGAAATTTGTCCATACACTTTTCAAAAAAATTGAACTCCCCCTGTGATTCCACTGTCCTTTTTGCTTACCTGGAAGCACTGACTCTGTTCAGTAAGTCTAGCCAGTGGTGAAGGAAATAGAAACAGGGACTCTTCAGGAGCCGTAAATGGACAATCAGGAGGTCAGCGAACACTTCATATTCCCTGCCTCTGCAGTCATTCTGGCAGAATAACCAGTCTTACTTTGGGGGTTACTTGGGACTGTGTTTTTCAGTTGCTACTCTTCTCTGCTTTGTATTTGATACAATCTGTGCAGGTTTCGCATCTCTCCTAAAGTGAAAATCCAAAGCCGTATTGCTCCTTCATGTTCCTTCCTCATTTGCGAAAGTCTATTGAGCTGCCCTATCTGCAGTTCAATATATTTTCCCCAATATTTCTTTTTCTGCATTTTGAACTCAACTTGAACAGAGCAGGGATGAAGCTTCACTCTTTTCTAAACCTTCTTGATTTCCCTTATTTTCTGTTGAAAAAAAATGTATTTTCCACCCTTTTCTTTCCTTTTCCCTGTAAACTGAGATATATACAACTTGCTTTCTTTTTTTTTTTTTTTTTACCTCACACGCCTTAAAAGCAACTATTTTTCTTTAAAGCATACCAAAGCTCTTAAGTTCTTTATTTTCCGTACCTGAAATAGCTGAAATCTTCCTGCTCTGTGACTGTGATTTTCCATTTTCCCCCTCAATCTATACAAAACAAAAAAATACTCAGACAGCACTTTCATCCCATTTTTCTGATCTGTTTTGTCCCCCTTCGGATAAGGTCCAACTCATCTGTCTCTATTGCCTGTAGTTAGCTAGTGTGAGGTGTCCCTGCCCATGGCAGGGGGGTTGGAACTTGATGATCTTAAGGTCCTTTCCAACCCTAACTATTCTATGATTCTATGATTCTATGATCCTGTGACTGTGTGAGAAAGGTGCATTCAGACCTACCCATTGGAGATGTTTATTTGCTTTCTAGTAATAATGAAAGGTTGCCAAAACCATTTAGTTTAGACTGAGTGTAAGGGTAGTGTAAGCATTCTTTGCTTGATGTCTCTGTCATCCACTTCTCCTTCTACAACATATTCAAGAAGAGCTTAGTCATTACCTTCAGTACCATGCAAAAAATCTTCTCTTCCTTAAATAACCTTGCTTCCCTTTAGACCTCATTCTCACCCGATTTTTTAAAATTAAGTCAAACATTTTTAGACCAGAAGCGGCTACCTAGTTTGCAATAGTGTATATCTTAGTTCATGCAACTTTGCTCAGTGAATTTTTCCTGAAATCCAAATTTTCCATTTGAGTTTGAAGAAAGGCATGCCACTGTCGATGCATCATATTTGGGATTATTAGTTAGGTGGTTCCAGGGGGTATTATCCACCTTAATCTTTTTCAGACACCTGCATATTTTGTTTTCAAATCTTCTTGCCTAGGTGGAATATTTTCTAACCTTTCTGTAAAACTTTGATCATTTTCTCATTCAGTAAAGAAGAGCCATTTTAATAAAATACCTCACAAAATAAAAAAGTATAAGTGATTTATTTTATTTTTCATCTATTGAAAAATAAAATCTTATTTTGTATTCAATTCTTGATAATGTAGCTCCTCTAAGAAGCTGTATCGTGTTGCTGTCATACAGTTGCAAAAAATAATTCACGGATGGTTGAAGCTGTTCATTGGTCTCTAAATTACCTATAAAACTCATTAAAAAGACCTGAGCTTCCCCATGGTCATATCAGTAAAAAAGCCTTCATAGTTAAGATTAAAAAAGAAAGCAGATTATCATGAGACAAAGAAACAGATGGAAAAAAAGTTGAAATTATCAATATCAAACAGATGAGGGAAATGTATTTAGTGCTCATATATTTATTACTGTGCTAGGGTAGTTGCTGGGAAGCAAAAATACTAGGTAAGAAACAACTTTTTACGTACTTGACTGAAGGAATCAAATACTTTACTGACCTATCAGTGAACATTTTTGGTCTAACTTTTTTTGGGGGGTGAAAAAGAAACAGAAATTACGTAATGTTTTCAACTGAAAATGCTTCTAATCACTATTTACACCAATAGTACTTATCAAAGGTAGCCCGATGCTCATATCTATTTACTATGTTAAAAACCAAGTGGGAATAAAAAATAAGGGCTTTAAAAACTAGCAATAAGAGTAATATCTAGCATAGGAAAAGCTGTCACATGAGATTTCAGAAATAGAGGCTGTTAATTTTTGAAGACAAATACGAGAACAGTAAGTAACATGCTGTACAAATCAGATAGAGTGTTTATTCTTAAATACCCAAATTGGAGTCCTGTAAGGAAGAGCAGATGTATTTAAATTAGTACTGACAGGAATTTCCAAAGGATTTAGAAGAGTGCAGATGTGCGATTACACTGTGGGACTCATTGCTAGTGGTTATCATCAGCATAATGTATCTGTTTTTATAAAGGGTGTCAGTATTCACACAGATCTTCACAGCACCCAGTGTTAGATTTCCTAGGATGAAGAAGAAATTAAGACAAATTTGGATATTAACCTTCCTGCTCCTAACAACAACCCCCTTTTTAGTGAGGAACTGCAAACCCCACTCTGTTTAGACAGATTATTTTGCAAAGAACACCTTGCTTTTTCTGTTAATAGCTGGTGCCAGACAGCAGTATGTGATGAAACACTGCCTTGACTGATGTGGCAATTCCTATGCTCACAAGGGTTTTTATTTCCCTATTGCTCTGAGACAGTAGCAAGTGTCACAGTGTTCCAGAGAGCACAGGGATGAGTGTTCTGACACTGCATGGGACTCGGGTATGCTGAGACCCTGTCCCACAGGGAGTAGGAGGATGTGCAGTGCAGCAGCTGCTGTACTGTGGGAGGCAGTGGGAGGAAGAGACTGGGGAAGGACTGATGGAAACGCATCTCCTTCACCAATGTATGATTCATATCTGGAGTCTACCTGCTAGTGCTGTTATTGCCTTACGTTACATTGGTGGTTGTGTTTCACAGTGGAGAGTTTCCTATATTACCACATTTGTTAGGTCAGCCTGCTCCTGTCATTGTGAAGTCCCCTGGCAACATGTAGCACGTTCTTTTTGTTTCATCAGTTTGACACGGTCACCTCTTGCAGAGCTGAGAAATTGTTTGGTTTAGTTGCAGTGTGATTTAATAAGGGACCATGGGAAAGGATTTCTTTGAATAAGCAGATAATGACAGATTGATCTGGGACCTGTGCACTTTTTCTGTTGTGGCACTTTTCTGTTGTTGGGAAGATAAAGCTGATATTAACTATTTGCCCTAGCCTAATGTCAGCTGCTCTAAGCAGTCTAATTAATTCAATGTTACCAACCTAAGAATGGCACCACTCTTCCACAGTAAAGAATAATAATACAATTTGTGTAATTTGGAGATTTTTTGAGTAATATTGTTAGTTTTGTATTATTAATATTTTTAAATATATGAAGATAATTAGATTGTATTCAAAGATATTTTGTACTAATTATGAAAGAATTATTATAATACTAATTGTTTCTCAGTGGTAACTTAAATGGGAAATACAGACAGAACCATAGGAAAACAAACTGTTTTTCTGTGTCCTACTGATTTGATATAGATATCTAAGAATCTGTATGTACCATTCGCCTTTGGTGAATGATGATCGTTTTAAAAGATGACCAGTCTGGATTTATATTTGACATTCAAAATGAAAATCTGAACCAAAATCTGAGCATCTTGTGAAATTTACATACATGTTTCCACAAGTCAGTTTTCTGAAATGGAAAAAAAAAAAAAAGGCATTATTTCTAGAGACCCAGAGAGTGGGAAAACAGTATACTCATGAACTCAACCCTCCCTCATAAGAATATAGGACTTTTAGACTGTGTATCTCAATCATCTAGACTTATCTAATACTTATTTATTAGCTACTTTACCTCCAGTAGCTAATGCTCTGGATAATGACTGCATGAACTCGGAAAAGACAAGAGTACTCAATTCCCTACTCTACGTTTCCAAACTTTATTCCTCATTAGCTTCATGGACTTAGTTTGTCAGTGATTCATTTAGTGGCTACCAAGAAAATACATTCTCGGACCTGTGCTAGAGAAAAATAAGTATTGCCAGTAGTTATTCATGAAATATTATTTAAGAAACAAATCCAATTTAATGTTTCCAAAAATCAGTCAGATATATTAAGTCATTATGGTATTTTTATTTATCATACTATTTACAGAACTTATTATTTCTATGGGAAAGATCATCTGCAAATGATGAATTACCTCTAAAGTGTATGTGAAAGCTGTGGGAGTGTCTCTATTGATTCTAACAGATTTTGGATAAAAGCTACTGTAAATTAATAAGTATCTTGTCTTTTGGTTAGCGGGCTGTCTACACTGGTATATAGCCTAATTTCAGACTAGTAGTAGACCAGTATATAAATTTTAGTCTCATAATTTAAAAAGATCTATCATGGATCATAACAAGTGCAAATGGAGAAAACAAATTCTTTCTTCTTTAGTTAATAATTTTGCTTGCTTAATGTCTTTTAAATGACTTTATAGGAGTTTTCTGTTAATTTATGTGATTTCATATAATCCAATTATTTATTTATGCTTTCATGCAAATAAATTTAGCTTGAAGATGACTAAAACATATATAATATTTTGAAAATTACCTATCATTGGTAGATGTTTAAATCAAGTATAGCTGTATTTTTACTTTTAAAATAAATTCATACACAATATAAATGCATTCAAATTTGTGTTTTTCTTAGCTCTTTTATATAATTTGTATATCTTAGGAATACTGATTTAAAGAATTACATGGGTCAAAGTTGTTGTTTATTGTGAATTATGTGGTTTTAACCTGAAAAATATTTGTTTAGTAGGTGTAAATTCAAAAGGCAACATTTCAGGACATTGTAAGAAATACTTGCAAAATTTATGTCAAAACCTGACAATATTCTTATGTGAAGTGTTGCCAGTAAATAATAATTGCCACTTTAAATAATATAAGGCATAGAAATCTCTGTGTGACAGGTGGTAGACAGGAAATGTAATGTGTAGAATAAGGGATTGACCACTGCTTGTAAAAAGACAAAACCCTTAGACTTCTGTCCCTGGAGTTGGCACTGGAGAGATCAGGAGTATTCCATCAACCTTCATGGTGCCTCAGCACAAGGCTTTCAACTTCCACTTGAAGGGTGGTGGTGAATTGTTGCTGTTAGTGATCTTCCACTGTGGATCTGAAAGATCTGCAAAAATTTGTCTGATTGTAGCCTCAGGAATAATGGAGGACTTTCCTCCCAGAAGTGTAGAAAGAAATATTTTTTTTCATATTTTTTATATCTTAATATCAAATATTACCCTTGGTCTTGTTAGTTTATTGACTAAATGACAATGAACACCTTATGTAGTTTAACTTGAATAATACCAATACGTAGATACACAAAAGAAAAGGAGGCTGTGAGATCGAGAGGTTTGTGAGTGGACGTGATTGTGCCCAGCTCTCTGATCCATTACAGAACTTATACTCAGATGTTACTACTTTCACGTCAAGAAGTTTATACAGTCCTACAGCTGCTGTAGTACAGTTAAGGCAGCTCTATAACAGCAAATGCATAAATGCATAAACTTCTCTTAAAAGTCTGCTGCCTGTGGTGGAGAAAATGGCAGACATCCTCAGGAGGTCTTGAGAAAGATTTAGAAGAAGACGAGTGCCCTTTTTATCATGTTTATCCGTGGTTTTTTCAAAAGAATTGAAATATTGCACTTGAATTCTATCAGTTTTTAGTCGGAAATATGTATCTGGCTCTTATTTGTGCTCCTAAAAACACTCAACAGCTGAGGTATCCCTCAGTAATTCCTGGCTTTTCTGTATGATTCCCCTGTGTTCTCTCATCAACTTGAAAAAAAGTGTAAGTTATAGGCCATTCAAAAAAAATAAGGGATTTTGTACACATCTTGGGGGTAGGGGAGTGGGAGGGAATGTGGGTGGGAAAGATGGGGTAAGTGTATTTATTTACAAAAATGTTTCATGATTCATACATTTTTCTTACTTTCGCTTTTACACTCCATGGCACAGTTTCCCACTATTACACTATGAAACAGCTTGTATTCCAATGTTCATTATTTTGCTTGATGTGACCATTCCTCTTCACTTACAGCATCCAGCAGAGAGCCTGATGTAAACGGCCTTGGAAGTCCAACTCTCCTTCAACTGTTCTCTCATATTGAATTTATTAAGCAGCAGATGGCCAGGGACAATGTACAGTTTGTTAGATTTGAATCAATAGACCTCCATGGTGTGTCGAGATCAAAGAATATTCCTTCTCGCTTTTTTCATGTAAGTTTTTTTTTGTTTGTTTCTGACTGTGTGTTTATGTGTTTTCATGTCTCTGTCCTTAATTTCTATGGTTTTGTTTGGGTTTTTTTTTTTCATAGCGCAGGCAGAAACTCAAACTTAGAACAAATTATCTGTACCCTCCACTTGTTAATGCTCCCAAAGGTTCTGGACTGTTTCATCACTGCACTCTATTCCACTGTCCCCGATAGTAATCTAATTAAGTAAGGCTAGTAATTTCAGTTCCTTGGATTTCTAATAATCTCTTCCTTCAGAATTATTTTTTCAGGTTCACTGCATTATAAAGCTTTGGTTTTATTGCACATCACTAAATTGCAAAAAGGAGAGGGTAAATGCTGAATGAAAGAAAATAACTGAATGAAAATGATATTAGCTATGAGAAATTTTACAGTCATCAATCACCTGAAGATACTATTGGGTTGCATAATGACTTAATAGCAATATTTGCCATATTATTGATTCAGAAAATAAGAACCAAATTAGAAAGATATCCTTACAACATGTAGCCTTGACTGATCAGCCCTTTCAGTATATTGCTTCAGTGACATATTTCAGTATATTGCTTTCATGTGCATAACTCCATTATACTTTCACTCATGTTTCAACACGAGTATTTTAAGCTATACTGAGGGATCACAAAAAAGGATATGAACATGAAAAGATGTAGAGCAGTTTTGTTTGAAGTTCATTCTGGAGCCTAAGCCATATTTTCAATACTTCCCTTTTCGATATTGCTAAACTGTAACTGTATCATCTAGATGCAATTTGTTCTCTCTGATGTTATGTGAATTTTATAAGTATAAACTTTCAGTCACTTGAATTCTTGTGAGGGGTGGTAGGTTAATTGCAACTTCTCTTTCAGTTGCTATATCAAATTGCAAATGTCTAGTCAGCTTGTTCAAAGACAGCTTTTGTATTTATCTTACCATCTGAACACATCGAGGCTGTGCTGACAGTAAAGCTTTTGACATAAAACAATGTGTATGTGAACACACACACCAATGTATACATACAGAGCAACTGATATAAGTTTCCTTTTTTTTTCTCATTTTTTCACATAGCGGGGTTAGAATAGGGAGAAGTAGTACTATAGGGTAATTACCTTCAACACCTTTTTGCTGTCACATGGGCAGCTTAGACATCTTTGAGCAGTATTCACCATTCTGTGCAGTTTTGGTTATGGGTGTCACACAGGGAGAATTGGTATCAGTGGACTGCCACTTCCTTAAGAGAAGGTGGACTTTATTAATTTTAAGAGAAGCCACTCTATGCAGTTTGAAGTATTTAAATAATTTTCCATCTAGTTAGGCAAAACTTTGGGTTTCTTTCAGATCTGAGCTTGCCCCTTTCTAGGTTTGTTTTGCCTCCTCTGCTCACTTAGATGGCAATCCTTTCCCTTAGAAGAGTAAAGGTAAGATGTAAACATAAGCCAAATTTCTCTTAACAGAACTTGGCATAATTGCAGTTTTCATCAGCTAAAGGTTTGAATGTAAGGTAAGTTGTAAAGTGCTTGTTTGAAGGCAGATGATCCTTCGTTAGTGTCCTATCTGTATTTATTTCTGTAAATTGGAGCTCCCTGTTCTAATGGAGAAGAAAATATAATTATGAGTTTATCCTCTTTGCTACCTAGAAGCAGAGTACTGAAACATTGGGATGATTTTTCACTTTGAGGTGCTTCCCTGCATTTTATCCCCAAACTTATTAAGTCCAGGAAGTGATAATTTTCAGTTAAATTTTCAATCTGAAAAACAGTGAGGTATGTGTTATGGCATGTAAAGGGAAGTTGCAGCCTGAAGTTGTATGTCTTGTGGTCACTTGGATCTATGTAAAGGAAATGCTCAAAGGTTATGGAAGCCTAATGGAGTAAGTATAAATAGAAATTTGACTTGCAAAGTTTGCACCTAACTGGTGATGCCTGTAGTTGTATAAATACCATGCAAGGTAAGTGTTAAACATTGTTTTAGTTCTTCACGGAAATTTAAAAAATGGTCATTGGGATATTTGGTGCCGGGGTTTTCATACTAACCTTGTAGAAAGTTGTTTTGCTTTATAATGTCAAAGTAACTGGCTGTTGCTCTTTACTTCAGTGATCACTGCATTTCAGTGTTCTTTTAGGAAAAATACAATTGTTCTTACAGAGAATCTGGGTTTTATATATTTTACATATGTAAAAATACTATTGATTTCTTTTCTCATTTGTAATCTGTCATTCTGCTCTGTGTTTAGGAGAAAGCAATTCATGGTGTTGCCATGCCCAGAAGTTACCTTGAGCTGACGCTGAATCCTAAAGATAATGAATTAGATTACATAAATGCAACCAATTTTAATTGTGACATAATCCTGAACCCGGATTTATCAACATTTCGAATACTACCCTGGACTGAGCAGACTGCAAGAGTGATATGTGATTCCTTCACTGTGCTGGGTAACCCGCTAATGACCTCACCAAGGCACATTGCCAAGAAACAGCTGAGCCAGCTTCAGGACAATGGCTTTTCTCTGCGCTCTGCCTTCACTTATGAATTTTGTATTTATGGCATTACTGAGGTTGTAAATTCTAAGACAATATCCTTTCCTGCAGCCACGATACTAAATAACCACGACCAGACTTTCATTCAGGAGCTCATTGAAGGAATGTATTATGCTGGTGCCAACATTGAAAGCTTTTCTTCTTCCACTGGGCCTGGGCAAATGGAGATCACTTTTCATCCAGCATTTGGCATAGATGCTGCTGACAGTGCTTTCACATTTAGAACAGGAATTAAAGAGGTGGCTAAGAAATATAACTATGTGGCCAGCTTTTTCTCAGAATCAGGATTCTACAACTCAGGGGCTCTGTCACATAGCCTGTGGGATTTGGATGGCCAGAAGAATTTGTTTTCTGCTGGTTATGGAGTTGAGGAGCTCTCAGATATTGGAAAAAATTGGTTATCAGGTCTCTTGGCACACACAGCAGCTATCAGCTGCTTGATGGCTCCTACCACCAGCTGCCGTAAACCTTATTCTAAATACAGTAAGGAATCAAAAGAGACTGTAAATGCAAAATGGGCATATAATGATAACAGCTGTGCCTTTAATGTCAAATGTCATGGTGGAAAAGGCACTCACATAGAGAATAAGTTAAGTTCTGCTGCAGCAAACCCATACCTGGTGCTTGCTGCTACTATTGCTGCAGGTCTAGATGGAATAAAGAGAGAACTTAGGTATGATGATATGCTCCAAGAAGAAAATCACACTGCTGATTTGAAACATTCATCAGTCCCTCTGAAACTAGAAGATGCTCTTGTTGCACTCAAGAAAGATTCTTGCATTAAGGAAGCATTAGGTGAAACTTTTATTCGATACTTTGTTGCAATGAAACATTATGAGTTAGAAACTGAAGAAATGGATAGCGAAAGAAATAAATGTTTGGGGTATTTTATTTAGAAGAGTACTTTTCTGTAGTGATGCTGTGTAAATGCATACAGTGAATGGCTAAGAACCTTGAAATTATTAAATATATTTTAAAATGTTTTTAAGCATTGAATTTTTTCTACTCCTTTGTATAGTACATGGTGATTGCATTTTATTTTCTGTGTATATTCAGGACAACGCAAAACCTGATATTCATGAAAAAGCATTAGTAGGCTTTTAAAAAGCAGGGTTGTATTTTTTTTTTTTTTTTAATTAAACAGGCCTGCTGATGAAAAGAAGAAAAGAGAAGGTGAAATGGTGAAAAACAACTGCAATAGGACTGCATAATATGCAGAAATGTAGGAATAACTGGGGACAGTACAGGGGGACAATAGAACTGAGGCAGGAGATGAATTTCTTGTTCAGCATAGTTATGGGATTTCTCCCAGTAGCTAAAGAATTGCTAAACCAGAAGAATCTGACTTTGATTTAAAATCTAGGCTAGAATGATGAACACTACAGAGAGGCAAATAACTGGGGCTGTAGAACCTGGAAGTCAGGAATCAGTATCCTAATTGCCATAAATAAAAATACAGGAGGGATTATAAAATGATCTATACATCAGGAATTCCACTGCTGAATGAATTTTGCAACACTTATAGTGAATAAAGATATTTAAACAAATCAAATGGTGGCTCGAAGAAGGAATAATTCATAGATAGCCAGGAGTGTCAGGCCACTGGGCATTCTGTCTGTTTTGATAGTTAGTGGGTTAATTCAGAGTTGAATGAAAAATGAAAAAAAAAAGGGCAAAGATGCCAGAGAACTCAGAGGTTAAACTGAACTTTATTGGGAAAACTGATGTTGCAAAAGATGAGGAAGATGAGTGTGAAGAGAGGAACAGAGACAGTAGGTTAAAGCCAGAAAGAATGAGTGAAAATCTGAACTCAGAGATTGGCAAATACTAGTTTAAAGGGAGGGAAGACCTATCCTAAAATTAGAAATGGCAGCTGGTGTAAATTAAAATAATTTTTGGAATGGCAGGAGGTGGGGTTTAGATTTGCTCTTTGTTTTTGTTACTGTCGCTACTGTCATTCTTTATTATAAAAGATAACCCGTTGTTTCATACTCTGCCTCTACATTAACAGTGATTTCTGATGTTCTTTATCTTGTCACAATATCTTGATCTATGTGTAGTAATTTATGATTGAAAGTGTTTGGTCATCAGTGGAGTGAAAGCAAGATTCAGTCAATGCCTCTGTCAAATAGAAGGTATGAAGATGTGCTAGTTACCTACTGATGGATCTTCTACTCTTTGTCTACAGAGCATTGTACTTGAAATGTAGTACATGGTATGCGAAAACTTTTTGTGGGATTCTGTAATGGTTTATGCTCAGGCCATAAATCAGAACCATGCAGTCTACTTCCCCCCACCCCCCCCCTTTCTTCCCCCTGCTCCTGGAGGGATGGGAAGGAGAATCGAAAGAATGTAACTCCCACGGGTTAGGATAAGAACAGTCCAGTACCTAAGGTATAACACAAATTACTACTTCTACCATGAATAATAATAATGATAAAGGAAATAACAATTGAAGAGAATACACCATGTCACCTCCTGCTGACCAATAATACCCAGCCCAACTGAGTAGTGCACCAGACCTTCCGGGTAACTCTCAGTTATATCCTGGGCATGACGTGCTGTGGTATAAAATACCTCTTTGGTCAGTTTGAGTCAGGTGTCCTGTCTCTGCTTCCTCCCATCTCCCCCTCCTCCCTGGCAGAGCATGAAGCTCAGAAAGTCCTTGGTCAGACTAAATGTTTGAGCAGCAACTAAAAACATTGATGTTATCAGCACTGTTCCCAGGCCGAAAGTCTAAAACACAGCGCTGCATCAGCTACTAAGAAGGAGAAAAAATGGCTGCTACTGCTAAACCCAGGACAGATTCTAAAGAAGAACTCACATTATAGTCGGGTAGCAAAAGGAAATAGGTAGTCTAAGGAAACATAAATGCATTCTCTCGTCTTAGTTTGTGGTTGGTGGGTAGTTTTACTTCTCTCCCTTACCCATCTGACACATTTTTTTTGGCTGTTCTAGATAGTAGGACTATTTTTCTTTGCTCCAGGCTGCTTTACATTGACCAAGTCTAGCCCTGCATTTCTCATTCTGAAAAAAATGCTTATCTTTTGCTACCCTGTCACTTCTCAGGGGCTCTAGAAATCTGTCTGCTACCTGTCCTCTGTCTTCTTTTTCTGTTTATTTTCCACTCTCATCTTCACAAACTTTCGGCAAAAGGCATCCATAAAAATTCTTTCCTTGCTCAGAGAGCTTATCTTACTCATTATTTAGTCCCAACAGTCACACAGGTTTTACAACAAGCTATTCCTTCATCTGGCAAAGATGTACTAGAACACAGCACCACAGGTATAGTGTGTGTAAATGTGGTAAGATTTCTGTATGTTAGTAGGTATGCTGGCTAAACAAAGCTGTACCACAGCTGGCTGTGTAAGATTGTATTAAGATTCTGCAGGCATAATGATTTAAATTTTAAGGTTTATCTGGAAGATGGTTTTGAAATTGAAACACATTCCCATACCAGAGTTTCCAAAATCCAGTTTCAGATCTGTACCTGTTTTTCATAAATTATTCTTTAAAAATAAAACATATTAAAGAAAACATAAGTATACTCAGCCTTTTCAGTGAAACACCTTATAAAACTGAGTTACATTGCTCTTTCAGTTCTTTTGGGACTTGGAAAGCTGCCATGGCATAACACTGACCACATTTTGAAGTTGAAATCTCAGAATATATTTAGGTTCATTTCCTATATTCCACTTCTTTTGGACCTAATTTTAAGGATGGCAAAATGAATGAAAAAAATCAGATTAAAAAGTCTTTTTCTCTTCATTTTATACATACATTTGTAGGAGGGCATGTTACTTGCTATGTCAATTTTCAAACAACTTTTTATGTGGTTCGTCTTGGATTTATAATTGTCACTGTATAGAGTCACTTTTTAAGAGATAATATATCATGACCTATAAATGATTGAATGAGCATGAAGTACTATCTTCATGTATGTACTATCCATGTTGTTTTCTTATCACAACATTGAAAAAAATAATGGCATAAAACCTAAACCTTTGCTGTATATGTCCAACTATCTGATTAAATCAGTTATATAAAGTCACTATTTAGAAACAAAACCCAACTGACTAGAACTGATGCTCTACAGGTTGTCCTACAGCAAGATAACATAAGTTGGTAAGATGTATTTCCTAACTAGTCCTCACTGACATAGGGTCTGAAAAGACAGTGGTTATATGATTAAATAAAACCTTTTCTTTTTTTTCTGGCAAATCAACGCCTTTTTTTTTCTTTAAAAAAGGAAGGTTCACAAATGCAGCTTGAAGCTAGTGTGGTCAACACTTTGTTCAATACTCTTTACTAAATATGTTCTGTATAATAAAAATAACTTAAACTCTGTGGGAAAACATAATTTTCTTTCAAAATAAGCAGTTATGAATTTTTAAAGTTTTGTGCATCCTCAACCAAATTTTCATGAATATCCTTTGGAAAGGCAAAAAGAAAAGGATAATTACTTCATACTGCTCAATTGAAATTAATTACTATTGACTGCTGTATTGTCAACATTTCATCTCAAAATGTTGCTTGAAAGTACTCTTCACTGTTCTACAGGTCGAAGATCAATGTCTTGAGCATCACTACTTAGATAATTTAAACTTGTGCAGTGTTATAAAGAAAAAAAAAAAAGAAGACAATTGAAATCTGTAGTTTTGCATAAGGTCCTGCGGATTTTCCAGGACACTTCTACAGTCAGACGTTGTAAAGATATTTCTGATGTTTTTAAGGCATCTTTTAATCTTTTCAGCTTTAAGCAGAAAATGTGTGTATTTGTATCTTTGTTGAAAAAGTGGCACACTTTTGGCATTGTGCCATGTCATGACTGCTTCTTTTAAATGTTGCTTCATGCCAGACATTGGTTCCATACAAGGAGCACTACAGTAAACTCCTAATCTTTTTAACATACTGCAAGGTGGCTTATGAAATGCCAGCATGATAAAGGTATTATGGTAGTCTGCAATTCAATAAATGCAGGTAAATAAACAGTTCCTGGGCTGGCTAAGCTTTTCGATCAATACCATTAATAATCGTTAAATAAACATTTCCTCAAAATAGTGACTTTTTTTTTTAATCAGAAACAGCTAGGGTATATAGAATTTTATGGAAGAATATTCATATGCATACTGTATAACCCATTTAGCATTTGCATCATTATTAGTATACATCAACAATCTTTTCACTGAAAAGCAAACTTGCTTATAATGCGAAGTGAGCGTTTTTCCACAGAATGTGTGTCTCACAGACAGATTATAAATTTGAGTGATACTTTCAAAAATCATTCATTTATAAAAACAAGAGTTGATCTGAAACCAGTTGCAAACATGATAAAAATTCAGTGTATAATTTCAGTGGAACAACTGTAGTAAATTTTACAGAAAAATCTAAAAAGAGAAATAGATAATTATAAAAAAATTACTTATCAAAACGGAAGATTGTATAGAATAGCAGTCAAAGGGATCTGTCCTGGAGTCCAGTATTCATTGTTTTCCTCAATTGCCTAGCTATTGAAATAGAGAACAGGTTTATTGTCTTTGAAAACACCACACTTGTCTTCCCCCCCCTCCCCCCCCCTTACTCTAGAGGACAAGATAAAATAAAAAATAGCATTAGCAAATTGGAGAAATGTTCTCAAAAAAATCCTATATATTTGAACAAGGGTATTACACTGAGACAAGGATGTGAACCGCCTAAGTACGTATTTGTTCAGAGAGGAGTCTGGGTTGTGTTTGTTTCACTAGCTCACCGATTTCAAAGAAGAAGCTGGAAATATAAACAAGGGCATAGCTTGCAAGAACTAGAAACTGGTCCTTTTGTGCAATTGAATTATTCTCATGATTTGCTAATAAGGTGATACACTTTAGACACATGTAGATTAATTGGAGAAAATACAGATGTGGCCAAAGCACATGTCTAGGTAGTATGCATTTGCCAGGAAGAGCTGAATGATGGTGTTTAGCTTAGAAATAGGAGATAGGGTATACATGTTAAAAATGGTTTTCAGGCATGTAAAAGATATGGCTATGTAGCAGTATTATTATCTTCCTATCCATCACAACTAGAACAGAATAACAGACTTATATCAAGGAAGATTTAGACTAGACAGTCTGGAAAACTTCACAGTGTTACAGAGAAAGAAAGTGGTACCAGGTAGAAGTCTGTGGAAAGTGTCAGGGTTTTGATAAGGGACATTGAAATGTAATTTGTGATGTACCAATATCCCTAGATGCATAATGTTTACATGTGTGATAAACTGGTTTATTGCTGGGGTCTCATGTTGCTCTGTGATCTTAGAATAAATGACTAGACTGTACTTATAGCTGAGTTTATGTCCTGGGTTCAGCAGTAGCAGTCATTTTTCCCCTTCTTGGTAGCTGGTGCAGTGCAGTGTTTTGACTTTCGGCCTGGGAACAGAGCTGATAACGATGTTTTGGTTTGGCCAAGGACTTTGTGAGCCTCATGCTCTGCCAGGGAGGAGGGGAAGCCGGGAGGAAGCAGAGACAGGACACCTGACCCAAACTGACCAAAGAGGTATTCCATACCACAGCACGTCATGCCCAGGATGTAACTGGGAGTGAGCCGGAAGGGCTGGGAGTCTGCAGGGTTGGAGGAGGTATCAGTTGGAGCTTGGTCGGGCTTGGGGGGTGAGTTATCGGTCAGCTGGGGCTGAGGTGTTGTATTCTCTTCCCTTGTTATTTCCTTTATCATTATTATCATTGGTGGCAGCAGTAGTGATTTGTGTTATACCTTAGTTACTAAACTGTTCTTATCTCAACCCGTGGGAGTTGCATTCTTTTCGATTCTCCTCTCTGTCCCTCCGGGAGCAGGGGGAGGGCAAGAAAGGGGGGGGAAGTGAGTGAACGAATTACCTGACTGGGTTTAAACCACG